TTTTCCAATATGCACCTGCTAGATAATTTTGGAACATATGAGATGAAAATGTAGATGGGGAAATACAAAATTAAAGGCTGGATTTTTTATAAGAGTTGTTTTTTATTTTATTTATTTATTTATTTATTTTTGAGACTTTTGCTCTGTTGCTCAGGCTCGGAGTGCAATGGCATGATGTTGGCTCATTGTAACGTCTGACTCTCAGGTTCCAGCAATTCTCCTGCCCCGGCCTCCTGAGTAGCTGGGATTACAGGTGCGCACCACCACGCCCAGCTAATTTTTGTATTTTTAGTAGAGACAAGGGTTCACCAAGTTGGCCAGGCTAGTCTCGAACTCCTGACCTCATGATCTGCCTGCCTCAGCCTTCCAAAGTGGTGGAATTATAGGCGTGAGTCACCATGCCCAGCTGAGTGCTGATTTTTTTAAGTTAACTTCAAGCCTTCCTGAGCTGAGAAAAATAAACATACCTATGTATTAATCAACTATTGATATAATAATGCTGTACAATAAATCACCCCAAAATGCAGTTCCCTACAACAAAAGTATTTATTCTCATGCTCACAGGTTTTTAAGATGACTGTGGTTCAGCTGATATAGGCTGGGCTCAGCAGGGTGGTTCTACTGCAAGCTGTGAGTTGCCTGGGCTTGGTTCCAGACTGTGACTTGGGTTCAAGCTTTGCTCCATGTATCCCTCATCCTCCTTAAGCCAGGAGTTACAGGGGCATCTTCTTGTCATGCCAAATGTCAAGAACACAAGCAACAAATCCATTTATGTAGCACATGTAAACCCTTTACTCACATTCTCTCCACTAGCATTTCATTAGCTAAATCAAGTCCCATGGTCAAGCCCAAAATCAATGGGGTGGAAATATTCTCTGCTCACAGTGGGAGGACACGGATATATATAATCTTATTATAGGGGACTGAAGAATTGGGATCAATAATCTAATCTACAAAGTGCTGGTTTGAATTGTCTATAGTCTGTCTGTGTCCAGAAATCTGTAGATCTTTAGAAGAAAAGACCACAGTACACCAGCAGAAAGTACACATTAGATTGTTTCCCCAGCATAGGTATGGATTTATTCAGACTTATTCTCCTTTGTCTTCCTATCACCACGTAGAGTTCACAAAAGGAACTACAAATATCAGGATAGCAATCCGTGATCATGGTGTTGAGATTTTGCCCTTGCAGAATTCTCCCATGTAGGATTAAACATGGATTGCTTTCTTAGCAAAGTCACTTTTCAGCAGGAACCTTTTATTTTATTTATGTAAAATTTCTGAAATGTTCTTGCAAACAGTACATGCTCGATAAATATTGGTTGAAAGAGTAGGAGGCAGAGTACTAATATGGGAGAAATTAGAAGGACACAACCAGTAGAATTCTCACAGATGACTGTGCTCTTTCAGCATGGGAAAGTCAAGCGTTATATCACACTCAACATGAACGCTATGGAAATTTATCATCTGAAGTAAATATGTGATCTTAAAGATATATTAAGAAAATGTAGCTTCTGTGTGACATTGTTTAAGCTAACAAAATAGCCCCACGCTTCCCTATGTTTCTTCACCTTCATTGTAACCCTTTTAAAACCCCTTCTAAAAACCTCAAGTTTACATATCCCTCTGCTTAACCGCTTATTGTTTATGTGTTTCCTGTGAAGATAGCTAGACAGACAAGGCTGATAAAAAGAAAGCTTGTCCTTATCAAAAACTTATGGGTACTGTGTTAATGTGCCTTGCTTTTTCTACCAGTGGAAGCCCCCTGTTTCACTAAGAACTCACCCATCTGCAGCATTTATAATGGATGGAAAGTTCTAAGCCAGCCAAAATGTCCTTCTAACAGAATGAAATGAATGCTAATCTAATTGGCCAAGAATGCATATGCTGGGCTTGGGAAAAAAGCCTTCTACATTGGTTCCCCCTGCTGGATTTGAGGATGCACTGTCTTGGAAATTGATGAAAGCAATATACCTGGACCTTTTTATCTGAGGGCATGTCACTGGAATGGCAAATCCAGCATTCTTCTAGAAAGCATTCACTCTGTGATAAACGTGCCAAGTGTGTCTTGAGTTTGCTCCCCAAGGGCAGAAAGACTGAAAATAGAAAACTGTGCTGCTGAGACTCAAAGGAGAAAACAAAAGCACGCCACTCAGATGTCTGTCTTAGGAAGTGGGATGGCCCACAAGGGAACTAGGGGTAAAAACCCAGAAGCAATGGACCAGGTAAACTGCCAGACTGGTTGTTACTATTAGAAAGCTGCATTTCAGGATCTGACCATGAATTTCCTGTTTATGCATTACAACTATTAGAACCAATTCCTCACATTTCTGCAATTTAATTTCTGTTTTTCTTTCCCTTCTTATCTTCCTCTCTTCGTAAGAAATCTCCCTACCCCTACTCTGTAGAACATGTGGTAACCAGACTCATTTTAAAGGAAGCTTGTCACCTGCAGACTTCAGGGCTATTGTGAAATTGTTGAAAGGTCTGTCTGTTGAGGGAGACAGAGAAGCTGGCAGATTTTTCCTGCTTGACTCTGAGTCCATTTGGTGACTCTGAGTCCAAAGGGACAAATATTGGCTAAGTTTTTTGCACATGCTCCTACACCAACTTGGGCTTGTTAAGACTGCAAGAACAGCGGAAGTGACTATTTCCTCCCTAGAGCAAAGGTCAATGCTGTTTTCTTCATGGAGAACCAGAACAGGGAAAATGTCAGGTAATCATGTGGTATTTGTAAATATGCCATTTAGAACACTGAATTTAAGTGGCATACAGAGCCACTCCAGGCTCTCATACTCAGGCCAGGTGTGGTGTCTTATGCCTGTAATCCCAGTACTTTGGGAGGCTGAGGTGGGAGGATTGCTTGAGGCCAGGAGTTCAAGACCAGCTTAGGCAACAAAGCAAGATCCTGTCTCTCCAAAAAAACAAAAAATTTGTCAGGCTTGGTGGCATGTGCCTTGTAGGCCTAGCTACTTAGGAGGCTGAGGTGGAAGGATTGCTTGAGTCCAGGAGTTCAAGGCTGCTGTGAGCTATGAACATGCCACCGCACTCCAGCCTGGACAACACTCTGTGTCTATAAAAAAACAAAAAACAAAAGAAGTAGTTATATTGTGTCCACCATCACAAATGGCACAGGGCTAAGCCAACACAGGGGATCCTGTACATATATTTATTTATTGACTACATTCTTCTCCAACCTCAGAATGTCATCCTTTTTTCCTTTTCTGTCCTTCTATTATAAGCCTTTTTTTCCCGATTTAGATCAAATCTAAATGTTTCCCCATCTGAAACTTTCATCAATAGGTCATTTTCCAGAGCTACAGGTGAAATGCTTCCCCACTGCTTCTGAGGTTCTTGCTTCAGCTCTGCTACTGGTGGCCTCCTCTTGGGAGGATTCTTTTGCCTTGGAATTAAGAGTTGGTGGAAGGAGGAGATGGCAGGTCAAAGCACTCAAGCAAAACAACATTATGTGATTCGGGCCTACTTATGGGTCAGGAATTTTTTTTTTTTTTTTTTTTTTTTTTTTTGAGATGGAGTTTCGCTCTTGTTACCCAGGCTGGAGTGCAATGGCGCGATCTCGGCTCACCGCAACCTCCGCCTCCCGGGTTCAGGCAATTCTCCTGCCCCAGCCTCCTGAGTCGCTGGGATTACAGGCACGCGCCACCATGCCCAGCTAATTTTTTGTAGTTTTAGTAGAGACAGGGTTTCACCATGTTGACCAGGATGGTCTCGATCTCTTGACCTCGGCCTCCCACAGTGCTGGGATTACAGGCTTGAGCCACCGTGCCCGGCCGGGTCAGGAATTTTTAAAGGGCTCTGCTGGGTGTCTCTTCTGCTCCCATGACACTGGCTGAGGTCATCGCTCAGCTGCATTTGCTTAGCAGCTACCTGGGTGGAAAGGTTCAAGAAGGCTTGGCTCATAAGTCTGGCCCTTCATGCTCCCCACACATCCCTTCTCTCTCTTTCTGTGTGGCTCCCTCCATTTGGAAGGCCAGCCTCAGCTTCTTTACAGCATGGGGGCTGTCTTCCCAGAGGGAGAAAGTGGAAGCTGCCAGTTCTTGGAGGGTAGCTTATATGTCCCAGAATATCACTTCTACCATATTCCATTGGTCTAAAGAAGTTTCACGGCCAGTCAGGACTTAAAGAGAAGGGATGGACTCCACTCCTTCAGTGACAAAGTATTTGTTTAACCCACATGAGCACAGGTTGGTAACTTCTGCGTCTATTTTCTATACTTAACTACATGTTTTATATTTTGTTTTTATGTCTTTGTATAAATTCATCATTTTTATTTGCTTCATTTTCCAAACCAAAAGCAATTTGGAGATCCTCCCAGCAATGAGTTATAAAATCATGCCTATACTTAACCTTTAAAAAGTTTATGATTTCAACAGATAAATCCATGGAAACAGTAGCTATTTTAAGGCAAAAGAAAGTTTTAGATGGTTGCAAATATACAAACTTCATCGCACCTGACCAGTTATTTTTCATATAACTTCTATAGCATAAACTCAACCAACATAATCTGTTCAAGACAAAATATTTTACAGCAAAGATGTTAGATTGCCATATTTAAGTGAAAATTGACCTTTTTTTGTAGCATATATGAAACAGAAATAAAGGGCAAGAAACTTTGCGAACATTCCTTACACAATTCACGTTATTTAAGTCAAGGGAGAAAAGTGGACTGGAGTTGAAGTTTGTATGATATTTTGGGAAATGCAGAATGAGGAGAGAGATGTTACTGGGACCGCTGAGTGAATTTTGTTTACTGCAGTTAAACATTTCATCTAGCATATCGTGTGAGGAGGGATGAGTATAAATGCATCTATTTATGTAGGTAATTTTTCTGTTTCATGACTCTGATTCATCCCTCTGCCTGGCTTTATGGAGAGTCATGCTACATTGATTACCATTAATTTCAGTGCTGCATATTAGCCATAAAGAGATATTTCAAAAATTGACTTGATGCATTTTTTTTCCTCTGGTTTTCTTGAAAGATGAGAATGGTCCAGAGGAAAAGCAAAGCATGGAAGAAATGGAAGGGCAGAGCGGAGAAACAGGTAGGCTCAGATTTCTTTTGAGAGGTCTCCTAGGCCTCATCTGCAGAGGTGAACAATAACTTCACTCTATGCTATTGTCTGAAAATGCTTATTCCTTTCACCACATTCACTCCAGTGTTCATTCAGGTCTCCCTCAGGAAGCCACTATCTCCGGTAGCTGTGAGTTGACTGTGCTTTCAAACAGAGGGGGATATTCTCATAACTCACTCACCTATTCCATTTTTCTTCCCTATAACAGTTTGCCTGGCAAAGTTCTAAGAGGGACTGGCAGAAGTTGGAAGTGCCAAGCCAGAGTTCGGCTGAGTTAGGTCAAGCTCAAATTAGTAGATTTAGCTTGAAGGGAAAAAATGAAATAAAAACTGATTAAAGGAACTGAAAAAGAGGCTTTCCCTATGCAGTGAGAAGAATGTTCTCTAGTCTATTGCATTAAATTTTGAAGAGCTATGCTTCAGGTTATTTCTCTGCGTATTGTTGGAGATGGTGCAATGGGCCTGACTACCCCACACACAGAGCTCTAAATAAGATCTAAACCCTTCCTGACATCCCCTCTGTTAACTAAAGGACAGATATATCCATTGAAAATTTATAGATTCCACACTGTAGATTATAAATTGAACATTTTCAAATAAAATAGCACTTAAGGCTCAAAAGGGATTGAAGTCACCTGTGATTTATTATCTCTTTCTACTCATTTTTGTACTCAGGCGTGCTTCCTTTAAAAGAATGATAGGCACAATCATTCACTTACCCACATCCAGCAAAATAAATAAATAAATAAAACTCTCTGTTCCCTTGAGTTACCCAGATATTCTCCCAATTCTAATGAGCCCCATGGAGGGGCGTCTTTGAAATAGTGGGCTCTGCTGTTAGCCAAGCACATCCTAGGCCATACGCGAAACTCTTGGAATTAAACCAGGTAGCGTGATAAGTTTTTCACTGTAAACTTCTTACATTAACCTTGGAGATTTTATTGGGAATTGGAAGCTTTTATTATTAACCTGGAAGATGGAATTGAAGAAGGCCAATCAGGGAAAGCACTGAAGCAAGGCAGCCAGGACTTTGTGTACCTGCAACTGTGTCGGCCGGCGCCCTTTGCTGCAATATAGTCCTTGCAATGAAATGAATTTCTGATACAGAAAAATGTTGTTATCCAACCCTCCCCCACCCCTGACCCACACATTATGCTCCATAGCAGATGAGTGAAAAGCTGTCACTGTTTTTATTGTTTGGGGCTGACAAGTATTAGTTGACTAACTGCTGACAGCCGAGGACATTCTGTGGCTATTGAGGTTTCACAGGTTTTATTCACTTGCTGCTCTGTCCCAAACTGCTTTTTTTTTTTTTTTTTTTTTTGAGACAGAGTCTTGCTCTGTCACTCAGGCTGGAGTGCAGTGGTGTAATCTCGGCTCACTGCAACCTCCGCCTCCTGTGTTCAAGCGATTATCATGCCTCAGCCTCCTGAGTAGCTGGGACTACAGCCATGCACCACCATGCCTGGCTAATTTTTTTTTTTTTTTTTTAAGTAGAGACAGGGTTTCACCAGGTTGGCCAGGCTGGTCTCAAACTCCTAACCTCAAGTGATCTGCCCACTTAAGCCTCCTAAAGTGCTGGGATTGTAGGCATGAGCCACCTCGCCCAGCCCCAAACTGTCCTTATCGACAAAGATTGTTTCTCATCCTTGTATGTACGTGCACCCACACACTTATGCATGCACTCACATTTGCCTGTGTTTGATTTATTCATTCTTTCCCCCTTAACCAGTTTGTGATTTGAGGTCGCCTTGCCTGTGAGGAGAGAGTGATAGAATGTCAGCCCCCTTCTCCAGTCCTTGAATCTGATAGTGTCATCACCACAATAGGGGCACTTCTCAATGTGAAGAAGAGTCCTAATACATCCCTGGGTGACTCCCCTTGCTTTGCCAAGTGAGCTCACTGGTTGGCAGAGGCCAGTGGCAGAATCCACCTATAATCCTGGCCAGCGTCAACGCTCATTGTTACGTTCACACTGCTCATTTCATATCCTCCTAGTCAGAGCGGAGAGAAATCGAAGATGTGGTTATGGGTCGTTAAAGCTCTTTTGACCTGCTGGTATTTTTCCAAAATAAAAGTATCTTCTTTTCATTCAGTATAATTTCCAGCTCCAATTTTGATTATGTGGCTGTGCAGGCCTCTTACACATCATGAAAAAACACAATCTCAAAACAGTGTAATCCAGCAGTTTTGACTATTGTCATGATCAAATCAGATCAAAGTTGTAGACAATATTCTTCCAAAAAAATGTAACAAATTCATTATCAAGGATTCATTGTATTGTAGGACCATTCCAGGCACTGAAAAATACACCTAACAATCAATAAAAACAACATCCCTGTTTCCTTGAAATTTATATTCTGGTAGGGGTTCCAAACAATAAACAAATAAAAATGATAAAAACATCAATAGTGATAAATGCCTTGCTGAGAAATAAGGAAACAGGAGGAATGCCCAGAAGGCGACTTTCTATGGTCTGGGTTTGGGACAGACTCTCTGAGGAAGTGATAGTTAAAATGAGATCTAAATAATGAGATGGTGAGAGAGTGTTCTGTTCCAAAGGACGCTTGACCTGAAAGTCATAGTACATGCATCATGGACAAAAGTGGGCTAGAAAAGACCTTATTTGTGATTTTTTTCCAAATATGTGTTAGTTTTCATGCATATATGAATTATCTTTAGTTCCCTGACCCTGCTACTACATAAAAAACTACATATGTGTGTATGTGTGTGTATGTATATATGAACTATATAGTTATGTATATATAAATATATTACATATGTATAAATATATATAAACTCTAGAGTATAGTATATATACATATATATACACATACATATAGTATATACACATTACATAATGTGTATATCTACTGTGTGCAGTATACAAACACATATATAATGCCTATATATAATGTCTATATATAGTTTTTCATGTAGTAGCAGGGAATATATATAACTATGTATATAACTATATGTTGCTATTGTACATAACTATGTAACTATACATATTCTCTGCTACTACATGAAAAACTATGTACTATATATAAGTATCTATATATACTCTATAGTTTATATATAGCATATTTATACATATAAACCATATGTATTATATGTATATAGCTATATATATATTATATATATAACTATATAACTATACATATTCCCTGCTACTACATGAAAAACTATATATACTACATATGTATACTATATATATACTCTATACTATACATAAACTATAGCATATTTATACGTATGAACTATATATATACTCTATATATATATCCACACACATGTACATAGTTTTTTATGTAGTAGCAGGGTCATGGAACTAAAGATAACTCATACGTGCATGAAAACGAACACACATTCAGAAGCAAATAACAAATCACATATTTTCTAGCCCACCATTTGTCCATAGTGTGTGTGTTTGTGTGTGTGAGGGTATATTCCTTTTCCAGTTATCAGGTATTAAACATTGCAAATGATTTTAGCAATCCTTTCTGTCTAGATTTGCTGTTTGAATGGGAGTAGGCTAGCTATTATCCTGTAGGCCAAACAGGGCTAGAGTCACCGGGGGCTGAGGACACTGAGGAAAGAGGTCTACTCTAATGCGGTTAATTGGTGCTGTGAGGGGAACAGAGAGTTCCACGTCCTTACTCCCCATTCTCCCATTCTGTTCTCGGGTGACATGAAAGCTCTTCATGGCTGCTGGTGCCCTGTGTCTAATGCTCCCCTTCTTTCCGGCCTCTGCACTGACAGCCATCAGAGCTGCTCCCTGCAGTTTGACAGCCTGGCATAATGGAGCAGAAGTGCTGTGCTAAGAAAAAACAAACTTTAGAAACACACACATAAAAGCACTTTGTAGGAACTTGCAAGGATATACGTTCTTTCACAATCTGTTACCAAGAAAAATATATACCATCCTTTGAGGGATGAGGAAAAAACAAAATGCCAGAGGATGCGACTAGAAACAAATAGCATTCTTCACCAAAAAATAGATTGCAGCCCATTGGTCTCTGATTTAACTGAAGGTTTCTGTGTCACTAATTATAAAAGAGAGTCCCAAACCACTAGCCCCTTTAAAGAGCATCCTGTGTATTCAAGCATGCATCAGGCTCAGGCTTTCTTTGGTGGAGAGTGGAGGGAGGTGCGGGGTGGGAAAGCCACAGCTTGACTTCTGGAAGGATGAACTCTGAAGCTGTTTCTTTTTCTGTTTTATAGATGGTGTCAACACTGTCACTGTGCCTGGTCCCGCTTCAGAAGAGGCAGTTGAAGGCTGTAAAGATGAAGGTATGAGACCACTAACTACATCTAAAAATTGCAGACTCTTAAAAGAGACTATCTGGGCTTTGTTTATACGGAAAATTGAAGCAGCAAGTCAAATATAACTAGGTTTTCTTAAGTGTCTCTGTTTCCAATACAATCGAATATCCCATCTACTCTCTTTTATTATATATCTTGCCTCTTTAGAACACATACATATATATATATACATATGTATATAAATATACATGTATATATATGTGTATATATATATGTATATATAGATGTATATATATATGTGTGTATATATATATATAATATTTACATTTGTTCCTTTAGAAAATAACTGTTTATGAAATGAGAGAATGACCAGAGAAATTGTTTAGAGATGTTTATTTGAAACACCAGAATTAGTCCTGCTATTTGCAGCCACTCATCAGGAAAAGGTTTGAAAGAGTGGCATTTGAAGACCTCCAACCAGGGAAGACCATGTTTCAAAAAAGAAAGAAATATTTGAAAGGCATCCTTATAAATGAATCTTTGGCAAGAACATAATTCTCCATTCTGTCGACAGTTACTCTGAGAAAATGTTGCTGACCCACGTAGTATTTCCAGAAAAAGAAAAAAAGTAAATCTCAGTTTTCTAGGAGACAATTTGAGGAAGGAAGAAGTAGTGGAGATATTGATGTGGGGATGCTAGAATTAGAAATATATATATCTAAAGGAAAACAAAATAGTCCTCCCTTTTCTGGCTCTCTTGGTTCATTGGCAAGTCCCCAGATGAAAAGGTAATATAGGCATGCCTTGTTTTCTTGCACTTCGCTTTACTGTGCTTTGAAAATATTGCATTTTTTACAAATTGAAGTTTTGTGGGAACCCTGCATCAAGCAAGTCTGTCGGGATCATTTTTCCAATGACGTGTTCATTTCATGCCTCTGTGTCACACTTTGATAATTCTCACAATATTTCAAACCTTTTTACTATTATTCTATCTGTAATGGTGATCTGTGATCAGTTATCTTTGATGTTACTATTATAATTGTTTGGGGGTGTTATGTACTGTGCCCATATAAGGTAGTGAACTTACTTGGTAAATGTGGTTCTGACTACTTCAATGACCCACCATTACCATGTCTGTCTCCCTTTTCTTGGGCCTCCCTATCCCCTAAAACACAATATTGAAATTAGGCCAACTAATGGACCTACAATGGCCTCTAAGTGTTCAAGTGATAGGAAGAGTTGCATACTAAATCACACTTTAAATCAAAAGCTAGCTATGATCACACTTAGTGAGGAAAGTGTGTTGAAAGCTGAGATAGGCTGAAATCTAGGCCTCTTGTACTGAGTTGTGAATGCAACAGAAAAGTTCTTGAAGGCAATTAAAAGTGCTGCTCCAGTGGACACATGAATGACAAGAAAGCAAAACAGCCTTACTGCCAATGTGGAGAAAGTTTTAATGGTCTGGACAGATGATCAAACCAGTCATAACATTCCCTAAGCCACAGCCTAGTCCAGAGCAAGGTACCAGCCCTCTTCAATTCTACTAATGCTGAGAGAAGTGGGAAAGCTGCAAAAGGAAAGTTGTACATTAGCAGAGGCTGATTCACGAGGTTTAAGGAAACAAGCTGTTTCCATTACATTAATGTGCAAGGTGAAGCGGCAAGTACTGATGGAGAAGCTGCAGCAAGTTATCCAGAAGATCTAGCTAAGATCACTGATGAAGGTAGCTACACTAAACAACAGATTTTCCATGTAGACAAAACAGCCTTCTCTCGGAAGATGAGGCCATTTTGCACTTTCATAGCTAGAAGGGAGAAGTCAATGCCTGGCTTCAAAGGACAAGCTGGCTATCTTGTTAGGGGCTAACACAGCAGGCGACTTTAAGTTGAAGACAACACTCACTCACTATTCCAAGAATCCTAGTGCTCTTAAGAATTAGGTGAAGTCGGCCGGGCGCGGTGGCTCAAGCCTGTAATCCCAGCACTTTGGGAGGCCGAGGCGGGTGGATCACGAGGTCAAGAGATCGAGGCCATCCTGGTCAACATGGTGAAACCCCGTCTCTACTAAAAATACAAAAAACATTAGCTGGGCATGGTGGCGCATGCCTGTAATCCCAGCTACTCAGGAGGTTGAGGCAGGAGAATTGCCCGAACCCAGGAGGCGGAGGTTGCGGTGAGCCGAGATCGCGCCATTGCACTCCAGCCTGGGTAACAAGAGTGAAACTCTGTCTCAAAAAAAAAAAAAAAAGAATTAGGTGAAGTCTACCCAACCTGTGCTATGTCAATGGCACAACAAAGCCTGTATTATAGCACACCTGTTACTGAATAGCATTGTTACTGAATATTTTAAGCCCACTGTTGAGACCTACTGCTCAGAAAAAAAAATGATTCTTTTGAAAATATTACTGCTTATTGGCCATGTACCTGGTCTTACAAGTGTTCTGACGGAGATGTACAAGGAACTTAATGTTGTTTTCATGCCTGCTAACACATCTGTTCTGCAGCCAATGGATCAGGGGGTAATTTTGACTTTCGAGTCTTCCTATTTAGAGATATATTTTCTAAGACTATATCTGCCAAATATAATGATGCCATCCTCTGATGAATCTGGGCAAAATAAACTGAAAATCTGGAAAGGATTTACTCTTCTAGATGACATTAAGAATATTCATGATACATGAGAGGAGGTCAAATTTCAACATTAGCAAGGGTTTGAAAGAAGGTGATTCCAACCCTTGTGGATGGCTTTGAGAGGTTTAAGACTTCAGTGGAGGAAGTAACTAAAGATGTGGTAGAAATGTCAAAAGAACTAGAAGTGGAGACTGAAGATGTGACTGAACTGCAAACTCATGAAAAACTTGCACAAACGAGAAGTTGTAACTTATTTATTAAAAAAAAAAAAAAAGAAAGAAAGTGGTTTCTTGAAATGAAATCTGCCCCTGGTGAAGATACCAGAGTTTGAGAGTATCGAGTTAAATTATTTTTTTTTTGAGATGGAGTTTCGCTCTTTTGCCCAGGCGGGAGTGCAATGGTGCAATCACAGCTCACTGCAACCTCTGCCTCCCAGGTACAAGCGATTCTGCTGTCTCAACCTCCCAAGTAGCTTGGATTACAGGCATGTGCCATCATGCCTGGATTTTATATATATATTTAGTAGAGACAGGGTTTCACCATCTTAGGCTGGTCACGAATTCTTAACCTCAGGTGATCCACCTGCCTCAGTCTCCCAAAGTGCTGGGATTACAGGTGTGTACCGCCACACCTGGCCTTACTGAGTTTGGTTTTAAGATAATTTCTGCTGTGGGTAAAATGCCGTCAAACAGCATTGCATGCCACAGAGAAATCTTTTGTGAAAGGAAGAAACAATTATTGTGGCAAACATCATCATTGTCTTATTTTAAGAAATTACCATAGCTACCTCAACCTTGAGCAACCGAGTGGTGGCCACCAACATTTGAGTGGCCAATAGTGGCCTTCAACATTGAAGTAAGACCCACTGCCAGGTAAAAGATTTCAAGTTGCTGAAGGCTCAGAGGATGATTAGCATATTTTAGTGATAAAGTATTTTTCAAGGAAAGTACATTAACTGTTTTTTAAGACATAGTGTATCTAAAACTGTAACTGATATTAAATACTGATGTAGAATCTGATAGGAAACCCTAGGTCATCTCAGAGACAAATAAATCTGATAAAGTGTGATCAGAGTGAAAACACAGAAAGTGGTGTTCATCTTAAGCAAAAGTTTTGGACATTCCAATCATGTAGTTTGTGATAAAAACTGTAGAGTGTCATGAAGTTGAGTGGCAGAGTTTAAAAAACACGAAAGAGGGATAATTTAATTTGAATGTGGCCATGTTTCAGGCTGAGATTTTTCCTGTTGAGTTGTTTAGTTTGGAGATATCACACCTTCACAGAAGCACACTGTTTGTAATGTTTCTTGATGATTTTAGGATCTTACACCATTAATTGCTGATGCCAGGATTTGCTTTTTGGAATAATTTTAGGATTTTTTTTTTAACGTAAAACTTTTAATGATGGTAACTCCATCAAGGGATGCTGTCATGTATCGCAAATACAGTTCCTATGTAAGACTAAACGTGAAGTTTTATGAGTATTACTAAGTCATTAATATCCATTAACCTATTTACTTAGGGAAAATAGAAATATTTTGAAATTCACACTAGTATGCAATCTTCTTTTAATTAAAAACAGAATGCTTAGTGTATGATTTTTGCCTTTTACTTCTGAAATAACATGTACAGAAAGCCACTGTTTTTAATCGATTATCAGTTCAAAGCTTAGACCAGCTCAGAACAAGTGTCTAATGCTTATGGAACTACCATCTTGACTGATAGATACATAACTTGGAATAAAAAAAAAAGTCCACTGGAATCCTTTAAGACTGAGGTCAAGATAAGGTTAAAAGGCAGTCATATGTGTTGAGGATTCATTTCAAACATTCTCCATTATTAGCTTTCATGCAGAAATATCTCTTCTCAGTGACATCTGGGCTATTTTAGAGAGCTGCAGTTATAAGATTGCTTATAGAAATGCTCATTACACTCTCCAGTTTAAGTGGCAGAACATTTTTGCTGATCAGATGTCCTGAAGAAGCCCTTGCTCTCTTGAGTTTTTCAGACTTTGATCCTAGCCAAGCATCTCCTTTGGCTTGAGAATCACTGATCTTATGGACAGTCTTTGTTTCTCTTTCTAATATAACTCCTGAGGATTTCGAGATTCATTCAATTATTTCCAGCTTTGCTTGTCAGTGGGCTGGCTTTACATTTGTTATAAGCTTGGTTTCCACAGGAAACTAGCCTCTTCTAGAATGCAAGCATTGAAAACAAACAAACAAAAAATAAGATGGCCAACATGACTTTGGAGACAAGATTTTTTAAAAATTAGAATAGTCATGTGAAAGTTGAAAAATTTCAAAAGGAAGTATTGTAACCCAGGTGTCTTCTATGCCAGCAATTTTGTTTTAATGTTCTAGACATAGTTTCCACTGGGAACCAAAAACCCATGCTT